GAAAGCTTCCGAAGTTGAAATCCCATCTGAGCTATTTCAAAGGAAAGTTACTGACAGGAGCTGAGATGTTTAGGTGTGAATTACCTCCAAGATCTGAGGCACATTTTTCAGCACTATGGATTCATTGTCAAAGAAGGGTCGCATCTAACCCGAGAAAAAAAGAGTACAGGACCACCAACATGTGGGCAAGTTTTGAGAAGAAAAACGGTGCCCCAAATTCCTGAACGACATGAGGGCTACATCATTAATCACAATAAAAGGTTGTGGCATTTGACAGCACCATGAAGCTGTTATTAACTGTCATTCTGATCAACAGGGAGGGGAGGAGAAATTTTTTTAATCTTTTCTTGAGTAAAACACTTTTGTATGATTCAAATACCTTTGTAACAACTGCTGACCTATGAAAATTCTGATTAGGCTACCCAAGAGACGTCCATGTAATATTTCTAAAGTCATGAGTTATATCCACTTCTAAATCTTTTGAAACAACTAGATTTGACCGAAGACGGTGACTGTTTCTGGTATTGGCCTAGTTTAATCAACATGAAATTAGAAACCCAGGACAGACACCCTGATGAAAGGCAGACAAACATGATAGGAAATACCAGAAAGCACTGTGATACTTGCCATATGCAGAAGTTCAACAGTTTTCAGAAAATCCCCATATTTATTAAAGAAAAAACTCTAGACACACTGCAATAGTTTTACAGAAGTAAGTTGCTCAGAATGAAGGAGATGCAATTTCCGTACAGTCATTATTAGGGCTGCATCATCAATCTTTCCACAGTTTAATCGGTTAGGATGTTAATCACTATGGTCAAAAAATGGCATTTCCCTTAGCAGAGAACATGCTCACTCCTCTTCTGCATTTCTTGCTACTTCATATTTCATGACCTGAGCTTTCTGAACCGACTGAACCATTTTTAACCTTCTGCTACAGTTATTCTGGATATGTTGGTTTCTATGAACCTGTGTCCCTAGGAGTGACAAGGATTTAACAAAAATCTCAGTTCCTTCTCACATCCTTTTTGTATTTTTATCTACCCAAAACTGAAGGTGCCATGTTTTGTGTATTCTGAAACTCCGAAAGAGTTTCTGAACAATTGGTTTGTGTTTTAAGAAATGGCAGGAGATGTTGGTTTTGTGATTTGTTTCAAGTTCTGCTCTAAGCAGAAGCTAGTCAACAAGTGAGAAATAGATCTTTGAAGAGAAAGAAACTCAGCGTATGAATTGGCATTTTTTAGAAAACAAAAAATGTAGAGAGGTAATTTTCAGAAGGTAAATCAGGTAATAGGTTTATAAATTGCATCTGTGAGGGACTTTCATATGTAAATTCTTTAGTGCTTCCAGAAATAATTTGATAAAAGAATTCAAAGGAAATGTGATGCATTTGTGCAACGTGTTGGATAAATGAAAGGCCCATATGGATGAACTATATTATGTGGTGCTTAACCAATGCTAGCATGGTCTGGAGTGGGGAAGCTATCTTTCAGCACTGTCCTATAGTATTCAAAATAGCAGAGAAGAGAATAATAGCAAAAAATACCTTGAAAAGTGTATATTATTAGCTATTACTTCTGTACTCATTTTGTTATAAGAGATAATCTGTATAAAGAAGGTTAACCATAAAAGGTTATAAACATTTTTATGGTTTGTACCTACTGTTGATTTGCCTTCGTTGCAATGTGTGAGTTTCTATTCCCAGAACTATGCTGGCACTTTGCAATTGCTCTTGAAAACACCTAAAAGTAATCCTAGTTATTTTCTCTAAGAATCTATACATCAAGCGGCATCTGTGAAATGTTTGTATGCTTTGGGCATGTTAATACATCCAAAGGCTGGAAACTTGGTCCGTAATGGGCTAACAACTACTGAAATAAAATTTGGTATGGCATGAAATCAAGCACACTTGGAATACTCTCCCTAACAACGAACTCATGCAAGATGGTAACATCGGTGCGTGCTTAACTGTAATTCATAGCTCAAATTATTTCAGGCTAGAATTTGCTTTTATTTATTTTACTTCAGAACCAGTAAAATAAGGTCCATATGGAAAACGAAGTTGCATAGACCAAATTATGTTCTTAAGCTACCATTGTGCAAGACTGACACCACCCCCCCAGACTAGAAGAATCTTCTAAAGTCATCTTACAATTATATTTGCAATAAACAATTATAAAAACATGTAGTAATGAAAAGAGAGTGAAAAAAAAAGTCTTTTGTGTAGTTATAAAAGTGTGGGTGCTTTCATTAGTCCATATCGAAATAAAAAAAAATTTCCAAGAATTTTAGTCCACACAATGGGTGCCTAGAATTTGTTCATCTATGATACAGTACATTCTGCACATATTGGACAGAAAACCAGAAAATAAAATAGAAGATACTAAACAGAAGAACTGCAAGGAAAAATATGAAGGAACTGTGGAATATGACATTATAAATTTGTAATTATTCATCGTCCATTAACTGTGGATAGGTATTTCTGTAATAAAACACTGCAGAATCTCACAAGATATTGGAGTTTCTTCTGAGTTACAAGACAGTAAACAAGAATTACTTAATTTGATTTTGACTGTAAATCCCATGCCAGGTCACTTCTTCCTGATTTACTTCCTGATTCACTGCAGTAGTAATTTTTTTTAAATATCAGACTCTCACTCCAACAAACCAAATCACGATGAGCCTTGACCAAATATTGTTATCATTTTCATGCTACAGCATGAAGTTGAGCTCTTCAGACCTAATTTGTATGTTGCCTATAGATTTATATGCATAAGTGAATTTGGAGAATTTTCATTTAATCATAATCTTTCTAGACTCTTTTAGCATTTTATAGCAGTTGAAAAACTTTGTCCTCAAAATTTTCAGTCTGTCTTTTGTTCAGTTCTTGTTTGAAACAAGTGTTCTTTTCAAGGTAAATAAAGTCTGACAGGTCTCTAGGAGGACTGCATTTTACTGGACAAGGTGGAGAATAGTGATCCTGTAATTATTTCTCTCAAAATCAGGCTATGAGCAAGAGAGTCACGCAGGTGACTCTCCATGTGTGCCCATGTTGAAAGGACTGCGTCATACTCCATTTGACAAGCTGGCCTCACGATTTCATGTCGTTTCTCACCAGGCTGTAGCATAACCGAGGCATATAGCTGTTGATCCTTACGAGGATAAGTGGGTTTTATGCAACACAAACAGCAAGCTATTGACTGCATCTACTGTACACTGTTCTGCTTTGTCACTCAAGGTGTCTGCAGGGGGAACAGGCTTGCCAGGCTTTGAATGCCAAGTACCAGCAGTAAAACACCCTCAGATAGGTTGTGTGTTTCAGAAGTTAACTGATAATCTAGTATAGGAAAAAAACGAGTCTTGGAGGGAATATTCATGGTCTGATATTCAAGCATTTGAGATCAGTGAATTTTATGGTACAGACAACATCAAAGCTTCTTTTCACAAGAGTGCAAGGGTAAATTAAGTTCTGGTATACAAAGGATCAACAGATTTGGTTTAATTCTTGTGGCTTGCCATTACAGCTAATGCTTTTACTGTACACTCTGCAAAATGATGCACTCTGTAGGAATAGTCTAAAATTGGCATATACAACTGGATTGCTCCCAAAAGAATGGAGGATCTGCTTAGTAAGGGCAACCAGTTCTTACAGAATTGATGGATTTCAATTAAAAGTTATTTTTACCTATCTCTGGTAGCCTGTGTGAGATCTCTAATGCAGACTCCAAATTAAGGAGATTTTCAGAGGCATATCTTTAAATCTTTTTGATAATGTTCCTGTAAAATCTCTTCATTACATCCATAATTATGGGCTAATGTATGTTCATTCTATGTATAATAATTACTTTCATTTGTAAAGTATGCCTTTCAAAAACCAATAAATTTTAGAACTGCAAGTAATAGCACAGTGCATACATTCTAGAAGTGATGGGTACTGTAGTTCAGTAAATGAAAAAATTATGTATTCTCATGGTTAATAAGAAAGTCCTTAACCATAAAGGTGAGACCACCTCCAGGTGGTTTTGATTCTAGTGAATTCTTAAGTGAGTAACACGTCAGAAGCAAAACATGGTCTCTTACTGAAATAGTAATTCCTAACAGCAAAAAGTCTGTGCTAGTTGAAAAGAACAGAAGATAATCATCAAAAATTACAGCAATTAAAAAATCAGATGAAGGAACAAAGATTAAATCAGCTAACTAGAAAATTAGGAATAGGGACTGAGAAACATATAGGTGTTTCACTATATTAAAAAAAGAGTAAGGATATACCGGTCAACAAAATAGGTATTGACAAGTGCAAGAAGTAATAAATAAATCTAAAAAGTGAAAAAAATGGATAGCAATGAATAAAAATTAGAAGATAGAAGGTACATAGAAGTGGTAAGGAATAACAAAAGTCAAATGGTGAAGCATACAAGAACTGAATAAAGTTTAAGGAAATTTTATTTTTAAATATATCAGAAGCAAAAGAACCTCCAAACCAGTGTTGTTTTAATTTTCCAGAAATAATAGAATAGTTAATCGCAGTGGAACTGCAGTATAGTAAATGGCTATTTCACTTAATGTTCCTTTTTGGAAAAGAAATCTAAATTAAATTTTCAGAGCACACAAAGATGATAAATCATCTTCCTATTTATAGCTATTTTAAATAGCAAGTTTAAATCAGAAAGTTTGGAAGCACCAAAGACTTTTACAAGAGCTGGACAGGGAACATGTTAGACTGTTCTGTTGATTTTAGCAAGTCTCTGAACACTGGAGAAGTTCCAGAAGATAGAAAGAAAACCCACACAGTGACAATAGTCTGAAAGGGTAAGCAGTTTTGCCCTAATAATTTCACCTATTTGCTAAGGTTTTATTTAGTGTAAAACAGCTGATACAGGATCTAAATTAATTAACTAGCAGTGTATTTAATGGTGGATAACATAAGCTGTTGGAAAAAAGAGCTTGCCAAAATGCTGCAGTATTTTTTTTTCTGGCCACCACTTCTGTTAAAAGTAGTATAGTCAGGATTCTACAAGACACATAATGTGATACTGCACATTTAAAAAGAGTAAAAATTATTTATATTTAAGAGATTAAAAATATACATGATGCATAATACATAGGTTTAAAACGGGCTAATTACGAGGTCAAAATGTAGACATCTATAAAAAATCAGATATATACTTAGAAGCTGAGAAATTTTACATATGCTTATAGCACATACAAGAAATGAGCCTGGTTTCTAATCAGACCTACAATTTGCTTCTTGGCCTTAATATGACCTAAAGCTTTTGTCAAAGACTTGGAAGAAAATACCAGCACGTTCTTATGAACACTGCACCTGGAGAAACGTTGGAGAAAGAGAAAGTGGTGACGAGGTCTGGTCTGGATTGCATGCTAAACCAGCAGAGCCAGTGGTAAATGGTGCAATAAAGAGAACCGAACCAGCCTCGTATCTGTCCTTGGGCCACCAGCTCTGAAGAAGAAATGCAGCAGCTCTGAAAGCAGGTTGGGCGTCACACAACAACAAACACATTACATGACAGTGAAGCTACAAGTCTTAGTCAGGCTTAATGTATAAAGAGAGGGGAACTGATCTGGCACCCACAGGTACACATTTTCCTGTGCATTTGGCACTGATACTGCTCCTACATGATTGGTGTGTCCAGTTTGGGTGCTTAAAGCTCATAAAATGGGAGAGGGTTTATCAGAAAATGTGTTTTACACAGAGTGATGCTAGAAGCTCACTTCATTTATCAAAAGGGATTAACAGATAAGGCTACATGGGTAGAGAGAAAGGCATTAGACAACTAGAGTGCTCTTCATACTAGCAATAAAATCTGTGATGCAACCAAATGCCTATTAATTGAAGGCAGAGGAGCGCGGATAGCAAACACGGGCAATTTTTTAATGGCAATGGGTAATTAAAACCACTTGCCCTAAATTTAAGTGGATTTTCTGTCACTGGAAACTTTGAAAGCAAAATTGATTGTGTTCATAAAAATTATTGTCGAGTTGACAGCAACTGCTGGATTTGAAGGACTCATGGAAGTCCCACAGACTCAGCTAAGCAAAGGGTCAGGCTGGGGAACCACAACTGCCTCTGATCACCTTACATTGTATTAGTCTCATTTAAACATGAAGTTGTTAGTGAAGGTCTTTTAAAGGACAGTAGAGGGAATTTAATCACAGAAGTGAGGGCTGCTAGTGGACAGAGTAATTTTATTTCTTTATTATTATTTATCAGGGAGAACAAGAAACATGCCACAAACAGAGATAACGTTTCAGTGGAGAGAAGCAAGTTAAGAACAGAAAAATTACTGGAACGAAGAAGTACCTCAGAACAAGTTTAAAACACAAATTAGATCATCTGAAAATAAAGAAGGATCCAAGAAGGGATGGCCAGCATCCCAGAATCCTGAAAGACAAGGCAGACACTATTAAAAAAACATAGCTGCAAGAATTTTTAACTCCTCACTGACACTAAGAGAGGTATCTGCTAAGGAGCAGAAAGAAGGTAGTATTACATAGGTGCTTAATAAAACATATGGGGCGAAAAAAGCCACAAATATCTAAATTTTCTGATCAGAAAGAAATTTAGATAAGTAAGTTGTACACTAGAATAAATAAGGTGGGAAGAGGACAATATTAACAAACCTGATTAGTCCTAGTACAAGGGTTTAAAAGGCTAAACGGAGTAGTATATTGAACAACGAAAAGTATATTGAATGCACTTGATTTGAAAAAGCAAATACAGCATACAAATACTAATAGTATCAATAGACTATCAAACAGAATTAAAACAGTTTGACAGCTTCCAGTCAAGATGAGAAAATAATGGAAAATGGATTTTGGCTGCTCAGAAATAAGAGGAGGAACAACACAGGGAAGACAAGGCATGAGCTTAATCTTATTTACATTTTATCAGCTAGACAGAATAGGCAGTAATATGAGTAATAACTGACCACCACTGAATGTAAAAGAATAATGATGCCGGTTTGAGAAAACAGAGAGTGAACGTATGACAACTGCTAATATCATGCATGCAAAATATGAAAACTATTGATAACTCAATTAAAACAAAAGGATGATATGTTCTCAGGTGTACTGGTCCGCTACAAGACACTGGTCACGACAGGAATATGTTTCAATGGCAGTGGCAATAGGATCTTTCAAAGCATCACTCGGAGATGGCAGCAACTAAATGAGTGAAAAAACCCACTATGAACTGGGGAGACCTGCAGTGCAATGGGCTGCAGCACGCAGAGATACCCATGCTGGTTTCAAAGAGCAGTATCGTGACTCCAACCAAATAACAAACTGGGGCTAAATGAACTTGCCCCCGTATGACTTTTTCCTAAAGCAGTTAATTAATTAGTACAAATGAGCTCTCCCTTTCCCTCCCTGAAAAGTCACTCTGCAAAACACAAACCCATACACATTAAAAAAAGAATTAAAAACCCGTACTATTTTCCTGTCGTAGGATTCCCCGCTGCTGTACGTTGTAGCCAGAGTGGATGCACATTCTTCTAGATACCATGGCTTCTTCCCGCTTTCAGCTGTGCTGCTTATGGAGATAGTGTAGATACTATTGGTGTAGCCATCACAGGAGCAGTGGTCTCGACTTCTTCCACCATTTCCAGATGCCCAAACAAAGACTGAACCTAAGCCTCTTCGGCCCTGTTTGAAACAGTACAAAAGATATTAATTCTTCCTTTCTCCCTCACCTGTTTAACAAATGTAACTTTCCCCCAAAAAAGATATCTGCTGAGAGAAAGACAATAAAAGAAGCTAGTTCACTGAGAAGAATCTGAAATGAAAACAGGATTTAGCAGAGTTCAGAATCAAGCATCAGAAAAATTCAGAAAATGAGTGGTATGAAAACAGCTTTAGAAACAACTTCTACGGAGTGTCTGTTTGTTGCTCTGCATTATGCTGTCCAGACGTACCAAGAAAGAGGTGCTGAGGACTCAGAGGAAGCATTAAAACATCGTATTGGGTTGGAAAATGAAAAGAAATAGCATACTTGAAACTCAAACCCTTTGTAACGCACAATGCCTTTCATTTATTAGGGCACTCTCAGCTGTTTCTTCTTGGGTTGCCTGGTGGCTCTAGGTATTGTTTGGATAGCGTTATATACTGTGAACCAGAGCATCATTGTGTCACAGAGACTATAAATCACAGAATCACCGAACACCTGAGGTGGGAAGGGACCTCAGGACATCTAGTCCAACCCATCTAGTCCATTGAAGTCACTGAAGTCCATGCACAAGACAGTATATAAATCAAAGTTTCTTATAAATCTATTACAATGAAGAGTAGTTTAGCATGGTGTTGTAAATATATGACTAGTTGGGCAAGTTACTTAGGCATATGCATAATTTCAAATGAGGACTTAAAAATAGGTAACCTCACCTTAACATTTTCTTAATACACTTAAGTTATATAGTGTTCAAATGAATCAAAACATTTTCAATGGTGCTAGCACTCTTTATATAGACACTGATATGAAAGTGAAGACAATCAGTAACAGGTATTGCTGATAATCGGGAATCGAGAATTACCAATATATAAGTAATTGAGTTTATTCCTGATTTATATTTACATATTTCATGCCACTGAATGAAATTCAGATTCATGCAACTGTATGATCTGCATTAATTATCAGCACTCACTATTTGGAAGCACTTTACCACTGCAATAAAAAGGTTCACCAGGGGACTAAACTTGACTTTGATTAAGCTAAATTGTTTCACCTTTTCTAACATGAAACTCTCCCAAAGCATAGGACACCCCTCTCAGTTATAATTATGCTAATAGTCTCATTTATACCTCATTTGCTTGCAACGCATCATGTAGTATCTACCTGTTTTTTGGGTAGGTCCACCCCTATGTATGAGAAATTAATGTTATAAGGCATAAACCACCACTTTCTCTACATGAATTAATTGCTTGGTCATGGGGGGGAGTTTGGTTTGGGGTTGGTTTTTTTGGTGGGGTTTTGTTTTTTTTTCTAATTTTTTTTTAAGAAAAACAGTGCTATTATGTACCACAAACAACATAAAGACAGCTGTTGGACATCTAGCAGCTCAACCTTAAACAATTAGCAATTCAAAGATTCATTTAAACCAGATGCTCACAGGGGTTTCACTAGGGCTTTTGATGCAAGGCATAACAGAACCTACATCAGTGTAAGACAAAAAACCCTAACAGTTCACAAGCCAGGCTTGAGTTCTCAAACATTCATGAATTTCATTTTGGGAGTTTAATAAAAGTATACTACCTGGAGAGACTCTTCTCTCCAGCAAAATAAGTTAAATATCAAATTCTCCTGGCTAATGTTTACATAAGGTTATGTCTCTAAAATGCAACTTCTCATTAAAAAAACATTTCAAGCAGAGAAAAAAATCCCAGGGTGCCAAGCTAAATGTATTATGAAATCCACATTCTCCAGACAAGATCAGTCTGACCAGCCGAGAAGTGTAACTATTTCAACTTCTTTTGCTTCCTTTAGTTGATTTTAGCTACTACACCAAGAAAAAGATGCAAAATAGGGACAATTTTTGTTGTTTTAAGATAACCTTTACGAAGTGTTACAGCTCTCCTTCCCCACATTATGAACTTTTGCCAAATTAAAACCCCTTTCCCGTTTGGGGCTCTTGTTCTGCCTTCTGTTCTCAGTCAGCAGGGTCTGAGCCTCCCAAAGCCAGTGGGATGTGTTTTGCCACTTCTTGGGGCTGGGACCGGTTTATGAACCACTTCTCTTTCATTCCACCATCTAGTCATCTCCCTTTCTTTACTTCTTACCCCTCCATTCTGAAAACATCTGATGAGATAGAAGAAAGGAAGGGTAAATGGAAAGATCATTTCACCTACTCATTATACCAGCAGGTCAGGGAAACAAAAATTAGAACCCTCTGTATGTTTGTGGGGAATGGGATGGAGAACGATGCTAAAAATATGCTGGTTCTCTACTTTATAATGTGCTTCTGCTTGATTTTTTCCACTTTTGTTTTGGTTTCCTCCCATTATCTCTTGCAATTAGATCATGCTTCCAAGCAGCATCCAAGCAGAGTATGAAAGCATACTTGCTTTCATATTCTGTCACCTCAGTGGTCATTTTTGGCTTCTCTGTCATTTCTGACATCTGTTTCAAAGTTATGTACAGATTCCTGTCTGGTCTTATATTGCCCTTAAAAAACAACTACTGTCTCCTACATACACACATCCCTCAACAATGTTAATAAATCTATGGGCAGGTAGAATACACAGAAAAAACCCGTATCATACAGAGTCTCTTCTACCTCCACAACATGTCACAATATTCCATCAAAACCTGCTTTTTGTGCATTTTCACAAGTATCTGCTATCTCAAGAACCTTAAATTTTTCTTCTTCACATGTGTTTCCTGAAATCACAGTATTACGTAACTATGTTTGGCCAAATTGATAGCCCATGGGAAATTGAGACTAACCCACCAATACAACTAAGATAGAAGAAATGAGAATTAACAGTAATCAAGTTACAGAACTTAGGAGGAAAAAAAAAAAGGCAACTAACCATTTTAATATTTTGTCTGAAAGTTTATCTTCCACTTTCTACCAAAAAAAAAAAAAAAGTTTTGTAAAATAAATTCTGAAAAACATATGGAAATACCCTATCAGTCCACCTGTCATTCTTTTGCTGTCATCATCAGCCGGTTTTCTCTGCAAACAGCAGTATAACATGATTTGTCCCACTCATGCAAAGAAATCCTTTTCACAGCAGGGTAGGACTGTATTTTGTGTACATTTTGCAGGAGCAACCCTTGAATTATTAGTGTCTCTGCACAGAGAATGTGTCTATATTTCTTTAGATGCATACTTACGCTGCTGTACTAATAATGAAAAATGAGATGCAGAAACAGATACGTGAATATATTTTTGCGCAAAAAATGTAGTCCTGATGAAAATACGCCAATGAATCTTAGAAATTCTGCAATGCAGTATTAAAAAAATAAATGCCAATTTATATTTTAATAGTAAAGACAGGGCTCTAAAAATAACAGCCATTTGCAGCCAAATTTACCTTTCCATGCTAAGTTTTTGTCAACAAATAATAACAAATATTTCTTCAAAACTAATGTCTTCTGCGACAATATAAGAAATCGACATCTCTGTTATTGTAATGAAAAAATAACTACAAGGTGCACTGACTAATGGAAAAGAGTATTTTCTAATACGTACAAAGAAAGAATTCCCATTCCTTTAACACACTGCAATATTGCACATTTTACAACTCAGCATTTCACAGAAAACAACAGCCTTATCTTCAGTCTAGAAAACATGCTAAAGATCTTGTTCCTAGAAGCTATTTGGCAAAACAAATGCCAGCTTTAAAAAAAAAACAAACCACCCCAAAACTAAATTCAACCTGACTAAAATAATGTGTCAAGTAAATAAGTTCTGCTTCACATTTACTGCCTATTGTTAAACTACCATTTGGTTTCCTCTTTCTCCCTGTTTCCAAACACCCTGCTTTAATTCAACAGACCCACTCATGCTCAGGAAATTATAAACTTGCTAGTAACTATACCAAAGAAGTAATTAGAGCAACAGCATCAGCTGTCCTACTGTATGTGAATGCCATTCCCAATTGGTCTCCGTTAAATACATACAGTTAAATAACATTTGGACCATGTTACAAGGTTAAGATAAACACACATTCAAGGCGCTCTGTAGTTTTTACTGTTTGTCTAAATCTATCATCTGTCATCTTCCAGATGTCCAAGGGTGTCAAGATGAAAAGTGAAGCCTTGAGTTGCCAACAAAGCCATGTGTCCTTTATTACTCAAAAGCAAAGGTGCATTTACAAAACATATGGGTACAACTTGAGCAAAACTAGAAGAGTTAGTGACCTACAGCAGAGGCATAGACCAGGGTGGAATGGGCATGCAGCAAAATACACGCAGGACTTGTCCCAGTGTGCTAAAAACGCATCACCTCCCTCTAGGCACCACGTTGTTCCTGCTTTTCCATTTGCAGTGACAGCTACTGACTCCCTCTTAAAAACTCTGCAAGGCATCCGTAACTGCACTTGTGCTTGTCAGTGCACGTGTCAGACCACTGTGAAATGTTCTCTTTTTGTTTTGTCTCCTTTCTTGAACTGTATAAACTATCAGATAATTAATTAAAAAAAAAAAAAAAAATCACGTGTTCCACTCTGGAAAAGAAAAAGTGCTTTCACTGACTATGAAGCCTTGCTATTGACCTAGTCACAGTTTAATTTTCTAGAACATTCCCTGGGCAAAGCCAGTGTGTTCAACACACAGCTGACCTTGAAGGAGAGAGACTCAGGTCATCGATGGGAAGGACCCAAGGCAGAAATTGCACCTGTAAAAGCAGGGCACAGGAATCTTGGGGCACTCCCACTTTTTTTCTGCTAGTGCCTCCTTTTCCTTGGTCAGCAAGTTGCAGGCAGGGTAAGTGCTCCTTTTTTTCCAGTTCAACAGCACGGAAGGGTTAGTCTGCCAAGAACCAGAGCCAGTATGAACATGTTCGTAATGACATCTGCAGAATTTCCTAACACTATTAAAAGAACATCCCCCACTCCAAGTGCGTGCGTTTGTGTATGTGTGTGTGTATACCTATAAACCACATCTTTATGAGTGAATGCCTTAGTGGTACTGGCAGGAACCATTA